GTGACGCTGATCAGGTCTGCGGGGAAAAGTGGGGTTATTTTAATGCATGGATAAACAGAAACATAATACAATACCATTACCATCTTAGCAAAACACTCTCTGCTATATAACATGTGCAATATTATGAATAATGTTCTATAATAACGCGCAATTACGTATCTGCCACTACGTTTTTATGCACTACTGAATACTGCACAGTTTTTTACATTCATTATTTGACCGTCTATGTTAGTTGTAGTTATTGAATTGCTCTTTTTACTTCACTGTAAGTGTACAGTTGTATTATTGTGCTGCTGTGTTTATTGTATCTTTGTAACTCTGGCACAACAATTTCTTTTGTGATAAATAAAGTCCTATCTTATCTAATCTTATCTTACGGAGCGTCCACACGGCGGCGAGCGTTGAGGCTTGCCGGTGGGCGTGTCTGAAACTCGACCAACAACCAATCACATGAATCTCCCGCCCCGGACACACAAGCACGCGGTTTGATTGGCTAGAGCTTGTACTGGCATATGATTTGATTGGCTGACGCTTCCGCCGAAACTTCAAAAGTTGAACATTTCTCAACTTTTGCAGCGAGCAACGCTTTCGAAGCTACGCTGCGCTCCCACAATGCAGTTCGGCGAAACCTGACGTCACCCCATTCAGAGTGAATGGGCAGAAGCGTTGAAGCTTCAACACACGCCGCCGTGTGGACGGGCCGTTACAGTAAATGTGCTTTGTGACGGCTTCATTAAAGCTTAGTCTTCTGCTATTAATGCAAGGTGTAAGTATTGTGGTAAAAACAAGAATTGTGGCTGCATTGAAATAAATATTTGAAAAATGTAAACAGCAAGTTTTGAAAGGTCTGTGGAAATTATTCTGAGAAAAAACAAACAAAAAAACGAAATTAAACTCAACTTCCTGTCCCTGTTACCTATACAATTGGAGACGAGCTCTTTCAGGAAATAACAAAACAATTAATATGTTTTATACGAAAAATAAAGGATTTATATACATTTGACTCATATACTGTATATAGACCAAAGATATCATCAGTCTTGTGTTTTTCTCAGTTTTGATTTTCCATTCTGAAACATAAAAGGTAAGTGGTTGATCCAATCTACAGTACAGTCTGGGAATCATTCCTTAAAGTGTGCATTAGAGGTATCATATTTAGTATTATGAAAAAGCACTACAGTACATTTTCAGGCACTGTTATTGTGTGATTAGCGACGCACTGTTGTGATTTAACACTGATATACATGTGTTTCACGACTTCAGTCCTGAAAGCCACTTGGTTGAGATCTCACTGTGTGACACAAAGGAGATTAATTGCACGGCGGAGAGCAGATGTAGGTCTTTCTTTAAAACAGCAGGGAAACATTTATTTTTTTGTTAAATGTGTTTTAGAATAAAGTCTCGATGAGAAGGACTTTCTGAATGTGTTGCAGATTTTGCTCAGGAAGGTTCCGGACTGAGTGAAATGACCCGAAAAGTGTCAGCCGTTATAAGAGCTGTTCTGACTCCCTGAAATGAAAGGAAAGGAGCTTCAATGCTTCCTTTATTATCTCCTTAGGATAAACCGGACCATCATTTACGAAAGGAAAGGAGATGATACTGCCCCACAATGCCTTGCAAATAACATTTAACAACATTCGGCTGTTCACAGATAAAACCAATTGTGACCGACTAACGCTGATCGTCCATCAGGTTGCAGGTGCTGATTCAGCATTTAACACATTTAGTAAAGTGCTTATATTTTTTAAACTTTGTGCTGATTGCTGTCAAATGATCAAATTAAGCTTCACAGTGTTTACTGACTTTTTTCACATGTTTGAAAGGTGACATGCACAGTAGTGTAGGCCTAACAAGTTATGCATATGTTGGATAAAGTTGTATGTATTCAAAATATTTTCATACAATATATGAAATAATATATGGCTTTAGATCATTGACAATATATATCTATATATATATATATAGATATATATTACTATTTGGACTTAATAAGTGTGGACAGGAGGGTAAGCAACCATTTTACTTTTTTATTTTAATTCCAAATTGGTAATGAAGAATATATTGGTCATTTTCGTCCACTTTTATTAAACCCTAATAAAACAACAACATAATAACACACAGGCTGAAGTGTCTAGATGTGCTTTAAGTAGTTGATGTATGGAAAATTGTTTATTTTAAAGAGTGTCTTTTCCTAAGTCCTGATGAATTGTCTTTCCTTTCCTTAAAGCCCCTTTCACACTGTCCCGAAATTGACACCCGATGGACACACGAATATGGAATTGTGAATTTCGCACGAAGATGGCCCCGAACCACNAAACTCTCGCGAGAGTTTGCAAGTCACGTGGCTGAATGTTTACGTTTGGCTCATTTGCTGTGGCCCACTGATGTTAACGATCGTAACTGAAAGGCTGCATGCCAAACGTAAACATTCAGCCACGTGACTTGCAAACTCTCGCGAGAGTTTGACACAAGACGGATCCTTTCTAGCCATAACCAGAAAACTGAGCACGGAGGAACAAAACGAAGGACAGAAATGTTTAACAGAAACAAATACCTTTATTTAACGTTACATTCAGGAAGGACATAACAAAACAGAAGACGAAGGACAAACACTGACAGAAAAACCAGAACTTAAATACATACAGAACTAATCACAAGGACAAGATTTAAGGAAGATGTATTTTATTTATTTTTATTTTATAGACAGGCTCTGCTCTTCATTGTTGGTTATTCTATTGGTTTTATTGCACATAAATAGACATGACAATGAAGATATCAGCTGTAAAATGTTGCCAAATAGTTACCATCTGAACAGAAAATGGATCGTACTGGGTCCTACCCTCCTTTAGCCGAATTCAAACCAATTTCCAGAAGAGAAATACTGAAGTTAACGGTATTAGCATTGGTTTTATTGTACATGAACATGCATTATAGTGTCGGTAACAGGTGAACAGTTGTGTTGAAGATTGTACTGCTTACCCCCTCTTGCGGAGTTCAAAGTAATATCTCTGAATTTCCCTGGAGTCACACAGGATGTGTTGCAAAAAGCAACATGTATGCATCACAGTGCATGTGAAGAGCACTTCTTTATCACCGATATTGAATATAAAAGCTTCTCCTGTTGAGAAGATCCCAGCTCCACTCACCATGTCTCCACCATCTCTCAGTTTCCTCAGAGACCCCTCCTCATATTGCTGCCACCAGTTTGGCCCTTAGTGAGTATGCCGGTGAGCAGTGTGTGTCTCTTCCCCTCGTCATGTATCTCTATCTGCTTGGCCTCACAGTTAGATGTTTATGGTGTTCCTCACACACACACACACTGTCCGTAGATTTTAGCCACCGGAGAAATGAGTTTGGCTTTTTCTAACAGTCTTGATTTAGATATGATTCTACTAACATGTGTCCAGACCATGAAGGTTGCCCCGCTAACAGCCGCACTATAGTGTTGTGTGTGTGACAAGATTAACACTGTTTGTCAAGACTTCAATCACAGTCCTAACTAAAGACTTCTTTGATTGTGTTGCAATGGACTAAGAGTCAATTTGTTGTTAAGATTTGGTCTTGCTTTGTTGTATGACGCTAAACATTCAGTAGCGTGCATTTCAACTATGTAGCATATTAGCTTTATATTTTAATATTGTTTTTCTGTAGCATTATTGACCTGTTACTGACCTCACCACACGTCAGCAAACATATAGTCATTTTTATACCAATAATATGTACGTTGTAACTTGTTAAAGTCTGCAGCGAAGCATCTCAGCTGTAGCTAAATGAGCTAAGCTAACATAGGAGGGTATGCTAAGTATGTTGTGACCTGTACACTTCGGAAGATACAGACTTCAAAGTTAAAAACGCAGATTACAAAAAATGTTGTAGTAAAAGTAGGCTCCATGCTAAGACCATAGGTTAGGGTTAACCCTCTGTGCCGGTAATGGCAACACCAAACTACTACATTTAAGTTAAGTCTTTCATCTAAAGGTCACTAAAGTAAAAAAACTACAAATCACAGATAAACACAACATTGGCATATATTTATTTTGCATAACACACCACTTATTATTAATTAGTTTACAGTCGCCATCTTGGATTGTGAGCTGGCAGAAGTGCAAACCAAGGATTGCGTTGGAAGTCTTCTATTCTCCTCATACATCATTTACTGTAATCCCCATTTCTAAGTACCATTGATATCAAGATCCAACTGGGATATTCAAATCAAGTATTTAATCCAACCACATTTGTCATGGATACCATTTAAGCCGGACAAAACGCAGCATTAGAATATATTTACGATTTACTGGCAATGCTTACAGTCACCATCTTGGACTGTGAGAGGCGAAATATTGGTGCTAGCCTCAGTTATGTTCTGCTTTAAAACTTAATGTATTTGTCTTATTTGATGCATTGGTTAGGGTTAGGGTTAGGGACTTCACAGATGAAAAATGGGGGTAATGTTGTTGATGGGATACCTCAACACTCTGAACAATATACAAGAACTCAATGGAAACACAGACAAACTATTGATTGAAGTAAAAGATTGTATTGTTGTAAGACAGAATACTTGAAGTCAACTAATATGTATCTGAAAAGACTCTATTCCACACAGTAACACTCGATATTTGGACCACCAATAATCACATATCATCCTTCTTCAGCAGGGAACATTCTGATTGTTTAAACACAGACAAAGGTAACATGATGAAATCAGCTATGCATTATTTCTACAGTAGGCTACCACCCTGCAAACATGCGTTGGGTTTTATCATAGCAGTTCTTATCACATCCACTCAGTCACTGTAAACCTTTCCTGAGAACCGCTCCAAGTTTCTTATTGTTTCTTTGTCCTTTCGGCTCAGATCATCTGTCATGCATGGCAGCGTGTTCACAGCAGTTTTTAGGATGAATCCAGATGTGCGACACTGCTTAGCCCCTGCTGACATCTGATCATTTTTTCGGTCAAGTTATAGCTGATTACAGCTTTAAGAAACTAACCCATTTGACTGCTTATTGCTTTAATCCCTGAGGCAACATGGGAGGTAAACAAAGCTGATTTGTGTGTTTGGTCCAGACTCACCGGATTAACTGTTGTGTGATTAATGTTGTTCACATAAATAATGTACTGTATGAGAATTGTATGTCCTAACTTAACCTTTCTTTTAATCACATTCGGCGTTACATTTGACGCTAGGATTGTTCGTAGTGTGTTTTTTCTGCAAGTGCGTCACACAAATGCTTCTAGATTGTCCTGATGTTTCATGTGTTCATTCTGTTGTGTTGTGTTTCATATTTAGTTGGCATGTTGTGTATTGTCAAAACTGCAGATTTTCCTCCGTTCTGACCCTGAACAAACTCAAATCTAATACATTAGAATAAAAACAAGAGGGAAAACTGTTGATTATGTCGATGCATGACGCAGTTCAGGATGTCCTATCCCCTGAATTAATATCTTAAAATCAATACCAAATTGTTTATTTATCCATTTATTAATATTCTACATAAGGGGTGTCAAACTCAATTTCTTCGCGGGCCACATCAGCATTATGGCTGCACTCCAAGGGCCGGTTGTAACTTTAAGACTATATAAAAATACATATATAAATATTTAATATAAATAACATAATGTATTGTATGACATGATTGCCTCTGCATTGGATTATTTTCAGATACGGTAATCACTTCATAATTAACTACGTCTGAAAGCAGAAGTCTAGGGCAAATAATTGCAAGTCTCTTCAGTGAGCATGTCACAAAATGATTCTGAAAAAAAAGAAAAAAAAGAAGTGATATTTTGAAAAAAAGTATTATTTTGAGAAAAAGGCAAATTGTAAGAAAAAATGCATATTTTGAAGAAAAAAAGCATTTGAAGAAAGAAAGGCAAATTTGAGATGCATTGTGGGACATGTAGTTTATGGGCAACGTGCTTCTGTAAAGTAGCATGTAGCCCCCGGGCCTTGAGTTTGACACCCCTGTACATGCTTCCAAAAACAAAACGTCCAGAACTGCTTCATGTATTCAGTTTTGTTTATATATATTTTTAAAAATGTGTTTATTGATTTATGTTTTTCTCTTGGTTACTTGTTTTTTGTCATTTTGTCTTTAACATTAATGTTCATTTGTTTTTTATGTTGACATTTTTTCATCATTTTTCACCAATGTTTTATGTGTTTTCCATATGCCCCACCCTCCTCCTCCCCCCTCTTTAATTTCCAAATGACCAATCATGTGCGTGCACATCATGTGACTGTGTCATGTGGCTCTTGCATGGTGCTGATGATGTCGTCTCCGCTGGCCAACAGAAGGTAATTTATTTTGTTTAGTTTGAGATCACGACATCAGAAATGGTCATTCAGAAGACTTTAGACACATAGGAGACGCATTCATCACTTTTAATTTTGACATTTTTCATTCATTTTTTCTGTTAATATATCGTAAATAATCATCATTCTTCATCTTAAGATTGTCTCTTGCAAACTCTGATCATTTTGCCCATTCTTCATTGCTTTCATTTAGTAACAATGCCAGACTTTTCTCCTTGTAGTGCCTGATTACAAATGCCACCTGGGCCATATTCTGCTGGTAGTTTTATGTGACTATTAACTCATTGACCCTGTGTGTTATGCTTGCTGTTACCCCTGCTTTAACATGCATTAATAATATCATAATTACTACAAAACCATAATAAATGTTACTATATAGTCAAGTCTCTTGATAACACCAGGTGTAAATGGGGTCTTTCATTTCTCCAGAGCTAGCTGAGACACATTTGAATTGATTTATGACAACATGTCCTTGATTTAAAGTGAAATACATAATGTTATCGCCACCCATCTGTGAGCTCTACCTGCATAACGCAACAGATGACATTGCAATGTGTTTGTAAATCTAACATTGCATTTGTCTTTTCTCACTTTGGTTACTGAGAGGCTGAGATAGTTCAGGATTCACATTTCTCAATCAGTCAAAGTGCAAAGGAGAGAAATTGTTATAACCAAATTTAAAAAATGAAGAACAAGATCACCATATTATCCCGTAGAGGGAGAATCACAATTTAAATCCAGACAAACTCTAAATGTGTGATTCTCTGGTGTTCTAGTTTATTTAAACCTTGATTAGAAAAGTAGGTAGAAATACGTTTTGAAAGCCTTTAACTTTAAACTATTCTTCCAGATAGCACTCGTTTTTACACATTAGACTTTCTGAACAAGCAGATCTTTTGTTCAATTTTTTATTTAGCCATTACATTTGTGATCACATTGAAACACCATGAGAGCATCCTCACAAAGTGCCCCTGACTGCCTTGCAAGTTCATTTTCACCTTACACATCGAACTTCTCTTACTTTTTCCAAAGATCATCTGTAGCTCGCAGTGTGTGATTGCATTACTGCAACATGCACGTCTGTTCCTTGTTGCGTCCTCTTTCTTCTTCTAGAAGACAAGTCCACCCTCTGCATGTGTCTGTGTCTTGCATTTCTACATTGACAGTATGAACATAATCGTTATTTTTCCAAGTTGTATAGTTTTGAGACAGAGTGTAAAAAATTGATTCAAGTCAGAACTCTGAGGGGAAAAAAAACCGGATTGCATGATTTATTTTTTAGCATTAATCCTTACTGTATTTCAGACAAACGATTAACGTCAAGCACTCCAAAACTAAAAGAGAATTGTTTTATCCAACAGCATGTATTCTATGACTCTTTTCAATTCCCTTTATGTCTCAATGTACGCTTTAAAGAGTGAGGGTGCCATATCAGTTGGCATTGAATGTGTTTCAGGGTGAGATGCTCCAGTCTGCATGGAGAAGCTTGTCGTTCTAACCCCTTCTCTCTCAGTTTTAGCCTCAGAGAAAATGAGCTAACCCAGAATGATGCCTGTGAATAACCCCGCTGAATGTCCCGATGTTTAACCGGCCTCGTGTTACGCTGCTGTCACTAACCAACTGTCTGATTTACTTCCAGCATCTGTCATGTTCAGTCCTGTGTAGACGAATGCAGCTCAGATGATAACTCACAACCAGTGCCTTCATGCATATTCATTTAATTACCACTAACACTGAGATTGTCCATTTGAAATGTCTGCCAATGTTACACATGTTAAACTCTGCACATTGTCTTTGATAACGTAGAATACAATATGTTCTTCCCACCTGCTATTATGAGAGAGTGTTAGCACAGGGCAAAGGCTGTACTATCATGAGGTAGACAATTTAAATACATCATCGTCAAGGCTAACTGTGTGCAACCAAATATGTACATAATTAATGAGCCTGGGTTGTCAGTCTCCTCCCTTACAGCCCTTACATTGGAATGAGAGAAAATCGCCTCAACCCATGCATACTAAACACCTCCACCTGCCCTCCCTCAACACTATGTATACATTATGAGAAGTAATAGAGTAACACGTCCAATCAAGGTCTACAGGCTCATTATCCAGCGACCCAGCCGCCATTACTCAGCAGGCAGAGCAGATAATGAGGCTTCAAGGAGAGAGGCAGCCTTTAAAGGGAAACACACCCACAATATGTATTTCATATTTGAAAACACACTTTGTTGGTTTCTGCAATAAAGTGGTGAAGGGAAGATTGATTTTTTTGTCCGAAATTTAGGAAGTTAGCTTCTCCCTGGTTCCCTTGGAATTATCCATTTGATTTTGCATTATGCTTTTAAGTTTTATGATACTTAGCAGGATCATCTCTACATATTACACCACTTGTTGATAGGCTGTAAGCTATTCATGTCACCACCGCTAAGCTAAAGGTGGCTAATGTTGGGCTATAAAGGAACTACAGCACGGTCACATGACTTCACGTCACCACCGCTAAGCTAAAGGTGGCTAATGTTGGGCTATAAAGGAACTACAGCACGGTCACATGACTTCACGTCACCACCGCTAAGCTAAAGGTGGCTAATGTTGGGCTATAAAGGAACTACAGCACGGTCACATGACTTCACGTCCCCATACTTCACGTCACCACCGCTAAGCTAAAGGTGGCTAATGTTGGGCTATAAAGGAACTACAGCACGGTCACATGACTTCACGTCACCACCGCTAAGCTAAAGGTGGCTAATGTTGGGCTATAAAGGAACTACAGCACGGTCACATGACTTCACGTCACCACAGCTAAGCTAAAGGTGGCTAATGTTGGGCTATAAAGGAACTAGAGCACGGTCACATAACTTCACGTCACCACAGCTAAGCTAAAGGCTAATGTTGGGCTATAAAGGAACTACAGCACGGTCACATGACTTCACGTCACCACAGCTAAGCTAAAGGAGGCTAATGTTGGGCATAAAGGAACTACAG